TATATATGAGTGTGTTGAGAAGTAGATTTTGTGAAGTGTTTGTCTTGCTGAACAAGTTCGGCCTTTAATATTCTTATAAAAAGGTGCTGTAAAAAAATAAATATTTTCCATATTAAATTGCTTAAAGTTTTTAAATTCTTAATTTAAAAACAAACAAAATTACATGAATTAGTTCCTGTTCAGTGCTATTCAATTTCTTTTTATCCTTGTCCAGTAAAGATATATAAAAATACTGTGGTGAAATATGAAGTGGAATACACGAGTAAAAAGGTAATTGGGGCTTCTAGATTTTGTGGAGCTGACTCAATATTAATAGGTTTTGGTGTAACCGAAATCAAGCCACATGTCCATAATGAAAGGGTATAGTTCTAATTTAAACAATGCTCATGTGACTTTAGAGTAGAAAGATTTTTTTTTTTTTAATGGTGGTTGGACCAAGGTGATCTTCAACTTCCAAGCAGTGATATCATCATTTGCAAGTACAGACTATTGATGCATAAAGAAAAGACTAATAAGCACAGACAACTTGTATAAAGCACTAGTGTGACCATTGCTGTAAATACTTCAAAAACTGGGAAAAGTGGCAAATAGAATTTTAAGAGGTATTAAGATTTGAGATGTGGAAACCTGTGTAATCCTGAATAATCACCGTCTTTTTTCGTATGTCCGTGAGATTGTTAATGGTAAATGTGATCATGATGGCATAGCACTTTGTCCTTTAACACCTTGTTTGCTAAGCCAGTCAATCAAACAACAAATAAAGCAAATTACTAAGATTTGCCGGGGTGTAAGTCAGAGTAGCTATTTTTATAGTCCACAGTAGATGAGTCCATTTAATCCAAAACCTGAGTTTATCGAACCTTTTAAAAATTATTTTGGATGTTGTGGACATAGAAAACATAATATGTTTTCTTTGTGCTATCCTATTTCATCTCCTTTGTCCTGAATCAAAGGAAATGGAGGATGGAAAGTCCTCATAACAATTTTTAAAAGTCAGAATAAGCTCCAGTTACATAAACCTTGTGACAGTGTCTCATGTATGATGGAGGGAGGAAGGAACATTGTTAGAGCATGCTGCAGTTCAGTAATCTTCAGCTGCAACATGATCCCAGGAGCCTGATATTATCTGACTTGTACAGAAACATCTTTTAGCTTATTGCAACTTGAGGCAGGAACTAGAAGACAGCATAAATACTTCCCGGTTGGTCCCATCTATAGCACCTATCAGAAACTCAGCATGGGACCCAATCTTTTCCAGGTGAATTTGGTAGTTTCTCAAGTTTCCAAGTTCTTTTTGGCATTAAATGCTTCACTGAAACTTATAGCATTACCATTATGATTACCTAAAGGGGAAAAAAATGTTTGCTTTACTTTTGTTACCAGAGAAAAAGAAAATGAATATATAATTATTATATAATTTAATCAGAAAAGAAAACTTATTCAAATCTATTCTTAATGAAACTATGAAAACTGTATAAGTAAACAGAGAAGCCGCCCGAATTGGTTGCAGGAACTAATTTGATGGTGATATTCTCTCTCTGATGGAGCAGACCCAGGTAGTAAATCATTATTGGTTGCCTAATGGGAAAATCCTACTGTGAAAATAAACATCTGTCCACAATAAAGAAATTGTTTACAAGAAACCATTACATGTCACACACTTCATTCCCTTGAGAAGGGAGTGAAGGCATGAAATACTGAGCAGTTGGATTTTTTCTGGGATTTTTAGTTTGAAGAAAATTCTTTGGATATTTTTTTGCAAGGCTTTATTTTTAGTTTTAAAGGCATGATCCTTTTTTGAATTACCAAGTTATTTTGCTTGGAATTAAAGACAGTAGCTACTCCTTTTTTGAGATTGCTGCATATTATGTATGTTCCTGAATTGGTTATAGTTGTAGACACACTGTAGCTGGAGAAGTTTTTCTCAGCCCTATGTCATGGGGCATATAACAGCCCTGCCTCCCCTCATGAATATCTTCCAATAAATTTTCATTCCAAAAATGTCACTCCAAGTCAGTCTGATGCTTCTCATATGGGACTGTATCTAGGGGCAAAATCTACCCTTGAACAGGGTCAACAAGAAGCCTTTTTTGTGGAAAGACCAAAATCTTGCTCTCATAACTTGACCTCTCTGTCAACCCCTTCTGCAAATTTAAGGTGTGAGTAAGCTAAGCTGAGGTGACTGTCGACAAGGCCTTGAAACAACAAACTTGTGGGCAGAAAACTCTATTCGTTACCAATCTCTTTCTATCTGTCCGTTGAGTGATGCATCTTTGAGGTACTTCGGCATCTGTAAGACGTCCTGATTCCACTTGCAAGGCTTTCCCGTGCTAAACGGCAGCAGTGCTTAAGGACAGTCACACAGGCTCCACAGCAAGAGCAGCGACAGAAACTCAGGGACTGCTGAAGTACCTGGGAGTTTGTCCCCTTTATAGGTTTGGCTGTTTGTCAGAGGCGATCGTTCTGTTTCTCACACCAGTAGGTAAGTGCACTAAGTGCGATTTACTAGACTCACGTGGAACATTTCTTACTCAAGAAGTTACTTCTTCGCTTCCTAGATGGTGCCTGTGTTACCGCATGTCTCAGCAGGCATATAGTCCCTTCTTTGGTGTCTTTGCAAACTGTGCAAGACTCCCTCAAAGCAAGTCTCTGATTCCTCGGTCAGGGAGGTTCACTGATAATTATCTATTGATGAGTCAGTTCATAGAGTGAAAGAAGGTGATATTTCGTATTCTGGACCAAAAGAGAATGAGACTTTCAGCTCAGTTAAGATGCTTCTAACGCTTATATTTAGCTTTTATCCTGATTGTAAGATTTCCAAAGAGCAACTTAAAGCTTTCTGGAATGCTGTCCAAGATCTTTGATGTCAGGAATGTTATTATGAGGATTCCTTTTCAAGGCTGTGTAAAAACTTGTTTGATTCATCATATTAACACACATGTATTACTTTCTGAATGAAATTAATTCAGATCCAAGATTTCTATGCACGCTTCTGATGATACAGGAAGAGCCTTTCTATGTGTTAAGACTGCATGCCTAAAGGACTGGCAGTTTTAATACGATACTTTTCAATATAGCTGGAACTGTCTGTATCTGTGACAGGGAGGGTTCACTCTGTCAGACATCAGGTCTGAGGTTACTGGGCTCTTCTCAGTGCTGTCTGGTGACAGGACTAGGGGCAGTGGCCATAAACTGGGACACAGAGTGTTCAACCTGAACATGGGGAAACAATTCTTCACTGTGAGGGTGACAGAGCACTGGGACAGGCTGCCCAGAGAGGTCTGTGAATCTACAGGATGTCTCTGTTTTGGATATTTGCCAAACTGCCACCTAAACTTTTGTTAACACTTTCGTTAACAGGACTGCTGAAACATTCCAGCCTGATATTTGATTTAGAAGAACAGTTTTTCAGTCTGTATTTGACTAGAAATGTAAGACTTCATCAGCGTAGTGATGTAGTAACGTGGTGTTTCTATGGGAAGAATTCTTAGAATCATTGATGCTATGAAAGTACCCGTAAGTTGGAAAGGCCATAAAGTTTACATTCTTGTAACTATTCCTGTGTGTTAGCTACATTAGTGTAACTGGGTATTTCCTTCTCTTTGATAATCTCTCTTACACTTCCAAGAATTCCTTTAGATCAGTAGGACTGAGAGGAAGAAGCTTTCATTGCTTTCACAGAAGCATTTGCAAATTGTGCAGATGGAGGGACTTGTCTTTGTTCCTGCAGAAGCTGGTTAGGAAAAAACTCTCCAGCTTACAGCACTGGAGCTGCTTCTTTTTATTTGGAGATTGGGGCTTTTCTGGAGTGAATTTACCCATAGAGTGAAAGCATGAATTGGAGATCCAGCTCAATTCTAAATAAATAGGCTTTCTTCTGTGAACTCTCCAGGCTGTCGGTTGAGGCCCACAGACATGATATTTGAATGTAATTGTTGTCTTAATGCAGAACTGCAGGTGTTGAAGCACGTTTAGGAACATGAAGCACATGTTTTCCTGACCCACCAAGGGTACTCTATGAATTCACAGATACTGTAAAGACCACCGTAACCATGCAAAAGCAATGGCATTTTCTCTAGAATCTGAACTAAAGCATTTCTGTAATAATACAGTTATAAAGGCATGAAGTAATGTGAAGCTTTTGGCCTCCTGCTAAGTCATTCTGGTGCTTGGTTACCATCACAGCTGGGAAGCTATGCCTTATTTCATAGCCCTCTGACCTAATTTTCACTAACTTTACTTTATATTGTTCAAACAGCATTAAAAACATTTAGAGAAGGTAAGAATGATATTTTAAGTCCCTTTAATGGTCCTTCAGTGCCATAAAATGGTAACAGCGTCACAAAGTATCTCTGAACAGCAGTTTTCCATGTAGCTGCAGGTATGTAGACATTTTTAAACCAGCTTTAGGTTATCTAGCTGAAATACTGCTATAAAGGTAACTACTGCAATGCAGAGTTCTATGAAGGATGCAAATTTCATCTGAGAAGCTGAGTATATTTTCATGTAATTAATCCTTGCTGATGAGTTAGTTGCTCACAGTGCCCAGGAAACTTGTCACTGGCAGCTATTAGCATGATCTAAGTTGAGAATGTGTTTATATAACTTGCTGAACAGAGTCGTATAGGTTAGGATTTTCCAGGATGAGATACGAGTTGCAGTAGAAAGCTCACTTTCAAGTAACCCCTGTTATAGTGATAGTGCTTGGATTCACAATTAGTAATTCAAAGTAATGAAAATAAACCACTTGTGTTTAGTTAGTGCCTCATTTTGTTTAGGTATTAAGAGAGTGCTATAGCCTCCCTTAACATAGATTGAGTCTATGTGCTGACAAAATAAGTGTAGATGTGCAATATATACCTTACCAAATGTATTTAAATTATAATAGGTTTTGTGAGTTGAAATAATGTTCTGGGTAGCGATCTGTTTTCAGAATATTTTTTTATTTCAAAATGTGCAAAGTATTCGTAAGTGCACATAAATGCTATTTTTATTCACAGATAATGCACCTCAGGTAGCAATTACCGCACCAGGATCCGGTAACCATAGAAACAGCTCTACAGGCCCAACACCTGACTGCTCTCCTCCATCACCAGACACTGCACTCAAAAACATAGTGAAAGTTATACGTCCTCAGGTAGGTGATCACCTTAAGCATCCTCTCATTACTCATATTTTTCTTTTTAAAAGCAGGCTATGATGCATGTATTGTAAGAAGATGTTATCACTAACACATATGAATAGGTCAAAGACAGATAAACAGAACACAAAATAATTTTTTTTACTTAAGAAGGAATCTTGATAGCAGGAAAAGACAGAATATTTTATGAATGAGCCAAACAGTATGCAGAGGTGTATCATTACATCTTTCTTACAGCAGTAACATGAATGAAGTCTTTATGTAATATTTCCTATTTTTAGGTACTATTAGTTTTCTTCCAACTTTATGTTCTGTTTTTATCAATATTAATTCCTTTTTACTTTTTAAGTTTTTTTTTCCTGTCTTTCTGCATCTCCATTTACATGGTCCCATAATGTTTCATACCTTCTTTAGTTTACCTTCTCATATAGTATTTCTTCTTGACTTTCACCTTCCTAACTATAAATATTTCTAATAGTGTTTGGTAAACAAGATACTTAATGCATGGAAAACTTGAGTGTTCCGTGTGATTCTTTAAGGAGTACATTATATTAAAATAAAAGCTTTAAAATAAATAAATCTTAGAACTTGATTCAGTAATGTAGAGTTAATCAGCCTAAAGGAGTTTATTTTAAGATCATAGGATGACATAGGTCAGAAGAAACCTTAGGGGATTATCTGGTTCCCCACTTAAAAAGGTGTGACATTAGGTGTGTCAAAGCTAGTTGTGACAGCTACACACTGAATTGCCTAATTGTGAAACTGTTTTGGTGTGAACCAAAAGAACTTCTGTTCTTCTCCTACCAATTACTGGGTTCAAATGTAGCCATCTGTTCTTCATTGCTGAGCTAATCTCTTCAACCGAGCAACTTTGATGCTAGTGGATGCAGGCTTTGTATCATCAGCATGTTGCTGGAATTTGTTTTACTTGTGAAGTAAGCTGAGGGGTACATGATATTTTCGTAAGAATGATATATGACAGATTGTTTTGGTTGCTGCACTAGTGAGCTTGTTACAGTGATGGTGGTTGATCTTCCTTACAGTATTCATTGGAGCAGACAGTAAAGAAGGTCTTGCAGAATAAAGGGTAATTGGCACCTGCCTTTTCTCTCTAGGAGCCATTGGTTTCCTAGTTCCTATGGCTGACACTGTCAATGAACAATAATTCTAATGACTGGTGCAGACCATCCTTCTTTGACACTGCAGTAGTTTGGGTTCCACATCCTAGTTTAAATCTAGATTGCAGGGCATCTAAAATAACAGCTTCTTCTCCTTTTCTCTTTTTATAGTTGTTTCTCATTTTGCCTGTTCCTGTAGTCTCCCTGTCCCTCCCACTCTGCATCAGTGTAGTACTGACATGCCTCCTTCTCTCTAAGCTGTTTTTTATGGTAGGCGGCAAGCAAACAGAAAGGTATGGGAATATTGTTGGAACAAGCTGTTGTGTGATAGCTTATTGAAAATAGCATTTGAAAAGCTGTTTCCATCATGATATTGCCAACAGATGGACCCAGAACACTGAATGGTGATGTTCTCCTGTTAGTTAACTCTGAATGGATTCAGCAGATTCTGGGGAGCTATTTTTGAATTTAAATCATACCATTTACTGACTCCCAGTATTCTCATCGTTCTGCAGAACAAAAGCTAGCAGTGTGATGTATATGATCAGAACTTTACCATGCTTGCTATAATGACTCTCATGTGGTGATACACGTGGCATACTTCCTGTGCCAAAAACGGCAGCAGTAAGGCACATGTAGGCTAGTACTTAATGTATGTTGTAAATCTATGCGCTAAATACCCAAGAAGTTGGATACACTGTAGCATTCAGATCCCATTATGCTTCTGCTTTCTCCATGTGCTTATGCACATTCCTTCAGTATTCTTCCTTTTCTTTGTTTTTGTTGCTTCCCTAATCACTTCCCCCCAAGATCTCAACCCAGGAATGTAGACAAATAAGTTGTAGATATTTGCAATGTGATGTTTGCAAACCATTAGTGTTAATTGTGCCTGCATATTTAATTCCTTTATTCCATGCCTGCTGCATTCAATTACATGGCAAGCTCTTTGAAGGTTAACACAATGGGATTCTATTCTTGACTGACCTCTCACCACTCATGTAAAACGAATGAATAGTCCTACACAATGCATGCAAAATAATTAATTTTCTGTTGTCTGCCAGGTTCTCTTTGCACTTTTCTAGAAAAATAACAGATTTTAAACAGATATAAAACAGAGATCATCTGAATTTCCAAAACAGCTGTCAGTCCTTTGCCTTTTCACGTCTTGTGCATCCAGCACAGGAAGGTGCCAGTGAAAGACAGAATGGGAAACTCTTCAGCGGCTAGTTCTGCAATAAGCAGGGTTTGCCAGCTTGTATGAAACTGCCAGAGAAGTCTGGCCTTTAAACTCATATCGTTACGTTAATTTATAGCCTTCTTTATCTTTCCTGGAGGGTTGTGCATACAAGAGTTTACCCACAGTGAGGAGAAACACCATGTTTCCGTGTAAGCAACAACAGAGGGGACCAAAGTTTCCTTCCTCCCACCAGACTGGAGAGGACAAATGGTGGCAGAGTGTGGAAAAAGAGAAACGTGTTGAGCTGAGTTTGAAGACAAAGGTGGGGTCATTTTGCCTCCTGATTTTTTGCTACTTTCTTTCAAAGTCTGTGTGCTAGCTCATGTGAGGGCAGTACATAGGCATTTTGAAGATGTTTGTATGAATGTGAGGTTTATCACAGCACAGAGGCCTCTCTTCTCTCCTCTTCCAGATGCTCAAATGCCAAATGCAGCTGATGGGGGACCCTGACAGCTACACCTGCAACATGGGGTTTCTGAAGAGTAGGCAGGCTGTGATGCTGCACTGCCAGCACATGGGGTGAAAGTACCCCAGCTGAGAAGTGTGAAATAGGAACAATCTAAGACATAAAGTGTGAATCCTGAGGGGTCTGAGTCATGGACAGTCAAGGGATTCCTCAGAGGGCACAAAGCTTGTTATGTCTTTTTCCTTCTAGTTGTCTCTTAACCTGGCCCTATTTATTCCTCTTCTTATTTTAAAAACATGCCATCACAAAGCCTGTCTAGGAATTTCTATTTACCCCAACCTTTCACTCACTTTTCTGGAAATTTATCCTTTCTTCAATTAATTGTGATGAATTTTGAGGTGAGAAAACTGCAGTTTGTTGTCACCTTACCACTCTTCCCTTATGAAATCTCACTACTCTCTAAAATTATCTAAAACTGTCTTTGGATATGTCACAACTGTTCAATTAATTGTACTATTACTAAAGCTGAAGCCTATTATAACCAAAATGGTCTATGTTCCCGGCACAGTGCAGCACTCCGAAGCAGTGTTAAGTTCAGTGCCATAGTGCCACACACCTCTACTCCTTCCAGTCCTGAAGCTAGTACATTTTGCACTTTACCTGTGTGCCCTGTCTGTACCTGTGATCTAGTGTTTTGCAAATACGTATGTTGTTTTCAAATTTTCGCAGAGTCAGTAATCCTCTGAAAAAGAGGGTTGTTTGAAAAGTTGCATATATGCGGATAAGACAAAAACAGAATTTGGTTCAGGGTTTGATTCACTTGATCATTTTTTTTCCAGAGTGTCCAGACAAGTTTTAGTAAGTTTGTAACTCATGAATTGCTAATTAATGAAGACTGAGGAAGTAATACATTTTCAAGTTAAAGACATATGCCTCTGTGAAGTATACTAACAGCCCATGTGGTAGGAGACCAAGTAGGCTAATGAGTCAACTGAAGTCCTCTGGAATTTTAGGCTCTTTCAAGTTTTACCTTTGCTATGTTAGTACATATAGTAAAATATAACTGACCTTGTCAGACTGGAATTTTAGAAAGTGATAGTAAAATTGAGTTTGTCCTACCACAATTCCTATAACTCTTGGTCTGGATGAAGCCTGAACAAAATGGAGCTGCATGTGATGCTTCATGTATTTTTTTGTATTAGCCGCGCAGTTTAACGAGACTTTCCTTATTGATTTGTTCAACTTCATTTGAACAAATAAACTGTATATGTAGAGAGAGAAAGAGCACCTTTTTTTCTGAAGAGAAAGTTTCTTTTGCCAGTGATATTCACACGTGGGTCATTGACCAATTCTCATAAAATTGAATTCTGACTTCTCACAATTTAAATTCCCTATTAAATGTAATCCAGCATTTGCATATTGTCTTCTTGTCTAAGATTTGTTTCAAATAGCTGACTGTAGGTACAGTTTTTGATGCCTAAATGTGGATTATTTAAAAGTGACTTGGATTTTATAATTAATTAGTATTTTCCCTATTTTATGTGAATAGCCCAACTCACTAAGAGTGTTGTTTCAGTGATATAAAGAGGGCTTATGGTGAAAGACAAAAGAAAAGAGAATTTTGGTGTTTCTGCCAATGAAATTTCATTATCTCATTCTTTCTGTGTTTATTGCTAAGATCTGCAATAATCCATTAATTTTTTTTTTTTTCTTGTGGGTCTGGATGTGCTGTCTTTACATTAGTTTCTATTTATCTTTTTTAACCTCTTTAAACAAAGTCATCATTCCCTCTGTGGTTCATTCTTTCTCTGGCTAAGGTATCTAGCAATGTAATAGAAGATAATAGTCTAAATGTTGAATTTTTTCTGCAAGCAGTAATAGAATTTTGCAGGACATCTGTAGCCTCTGATAGACCTCCACCACTTGTTTGTGCTACCAGGTGTGCCTTGACTAATATATAACTATTTTGTGCATGCGTAGTGAGCCTGGCATACCTATGTAGATGTAGTTCATAGGGAA